CCTTCTGCTCTTGCTGATTTTTCTCCCTCCCTTCCTGTCCTTCCTCAATAACTCATAATTTTCAGGTCAAAGCTATAAACATACAGTCAAGTAGATATGAGATACGTATAAGAATATTATTGCTCAAGCATCTAAATCATTGGATTAAATGATCCAGGAGATTTCCCAATACTCTGCTTATATAGAGAGAATCACAGACAAAGAGCTAAATTAAAAAAAAAAGGCTTGGCCTTATAATTAATGTGCAGAGATTGGGGGGTAGGGGAGGAAGTTGGTTCAAATTCAAAGAAAATGTGTTTCAGAGACTTATTCTTCCAGAAAAATTTCACAGAACTAGAAAACCTTAAAATTAGGAAAAACTGTTAACCTGCTAATACTGACTGAGCACTTAGGATATATGAGCTAATCGATGGCTTTCATTTAATGTACTTTGATGAGGAGAAAAATTTAAGTTTTTATCTGATACATCACCCATTTTGGTAAATGTTTTGTTAAATGTCTCCAGAAGAGGTTTTAATTAGAACCAGAAGAAGATATTTTAATATAAAAGTTATTACATACATAGCTATTATATGCCTAGATATACTTGCATGAACACACACATACATTTAGTCCATAGAAAGCCAACTACCCATGTGCCAAGTGGACCCATGGGAAAATAGATGAAGAGCATTACCTCTTATGTCAGCATAGTAAAATAAACAAACTCCCCTTAAACAAGAAACAAGCTGCCTTTTCTCACCTTTAAAAGCCACAGTCTGAAAGATCTTAGAGTCTAAAATCACAATTGAGATGTGCTGATGCCTAGGGGGATGGCCTGACATTTGCAGTAAAATATTAAACCTCTTTTCAGGCGTATCGATATTTTGATTGCATTGAAAGCTGTCTAACGATTCATGGCAGTTAGGTAGGTAGTGTGCTGATTGGTGCTCTTCCCTGGAAAGTAGGTTTCTTCATCCACATGCATAAATTACACTTGGTGATGTTGTAGTAGAGATTAGGAGAGCTGTGACTTGGTAAAACTAATTCTTAAGCATAGATAAAGGGCCATTCCATTCACTTGGGAAAAATCCACAATGAAAGTAGCCATTCATGGGCCTGGCGCAGACATCAGCCATCTCCTTCTCAGCGCGGCCACAGGTCCCCACTCTTAAGGTGGCGTGTAAGTGAGCCCTGGGATCTCTCATCTGACAAATGCTTTTTCATGTGAAATACATGAACTCCTTTTCCCCCTAGACTAAATTGTTTCAGATCATTGTCTCTTCCGTAGTACAGGAAGAGAAGCTAATCTATAACACAATGAGACTTCACTCTGGATGCCAAAATCTGCAATTATGTTGCACTGAGGGGCTTCATGAATAATTCCTGGGGTATGACCTGACATTAATCTGGGTAGGTAATACAGAGCTGGGGCACTGCCAGCATAGAGCTGACTGATTTCTTTATAAGAGGGCACTTTTGATGTGAGGATACAGTCTTTTCTCTAAGTTATACCCTCGATCCAACCTGAGCACTAAACTAAACTATCATCTTTATGTTTTATGTTTCTTCCTGAGTTGCATGTCTAGGTGATGGCAACAGGGTACCATCTTTGAAAAAAAAAAAAAGGCCGTCCGGTTAGGCAAGGTACCTCCAACATTTTAGCTATTACTCACATATTGGTTAGTTTTAAATGGCCTTGGAGGAAAATCACCCAGTGTGCCACAATGATCCATTTGTCATTGTTCCTGGCCAGGGCGCAAAATCAAGACACCAGTTCACTCTCAGAAACCGGTCGCTTATGGAAGCGGGCCCAGGGAAAATCATTTCAGAAATTCTTTTAGGAGAGTTATTGATAAGACAATTTTGATACCTCCTCTTGAAGTAACCCAGAATTAGGACAAATATGGGGTCTTTTCTTAGTTAAAATAGTCCATTGATTCAAATACATACTTACAGAATGCATATCTTTGGTCAGCATTGTGGCAGATATTGCGAGAAATTCTTGAAAATAAAAGCAAAAACAACAACCAACCAACTGATGATAATAACATGTTTTCTGTCCCAGGGGTCTTCCTATCAACTTAGAGAAATATGAATGGGAACAGATAATAGTGTCCAGAGGAAGAAGAAGTGAGTGGGATAAAACACAGGGGGTGGTACCTTGCTGAAAGCTGAATTTGAGTTGAGCTTTGAAGGATGATGATAAGGCTTTTGGTGGGTCAAAGGAACTGGGGAAATGTTTTTTAACAATAATAATAACCAAGCAAAAGTGTAGACATGACACCACTTTTTCTGTGCAATATCTGAAATATTTAACAACAGGTAGAGCACAGGTATTGATCCAGTAACCACCATAACGGTGCATAACACTAGACTATCAGCCTGGCTTGGGACTGTTTGAAATTTTCTTGCTCTTCTGTTTGTTCACTTGTCTATTGTCCCCCACCTCTAGGATGTAAATGTACCTGCAGCACCCGGATTAGTGCCTGAGCATGGCTGTTTCTCGTGTTTGTTCAGCGGCTGAGTGTTGATGTAACTGCACATAAAAAAATCTGGACCTGGAACAGGAAACTCATTTTAGGGAGTTGAAGTTGCAATTAGAGAGATGGGCAGAATGATGGAAGTCTTTCATTATCAAGATTAGAAAGCTGAATAATTTTCTGTGACTAGTGGAAAGCTACTGAAAATATACAAACAAGGGATACGGCAATATCATTCCCAACCTCATCATTTCCAAAGTCACTGCTACTTTCCATAGCATTAATGAGCTTTTACTCAGTGCCAGGTAATATTAGTACTTCGTGTTTTACATGCATTACTTCATTCAACTCTTGTAACAACTCTATGAGTGGATCCTATTATTATCTCCTTTTTACAAATGGGCAAACTGAAGCTTAAAGATCTCCAGTAACCTGTTCAAGGTCACGTAATTACTAACCACTGCACTATATGCCTCTACACCCCCACACACACACGTACTGATCGAAATGGGTTTTCTAACAAAATTAAATATATGCTTTAATAAGGAAAAATTACCCATAATTTCAGCATGCTACCACTCTTATAATTTCTTCTTACTTTGAAGGAGGGGCACTGTCCTTGTTTTATATAGTTGTAACTACAGCTATTATACAATTTTATGATATGCTTTCTCTACTTAGAGTTATCAAGTAAAACTTTTCTCTGTTGTTCCATATTATTTATAATTATAATTTGTAATGGTGGTTGTTTAGTTCCTTTTTTTCCTTTGTTGATTTTTTGGGGTTTTTTTTTTTTTGCTTTTACAAACAATGTTTCAATAGACATATTTTTCCACGTACCATATTTTTCTTGCCAGTTATTTCCTTTTAATTAATTCCCAAGAGTGACTGTACTGTGTCAAAGAGTATGAATATTTTGTAGGTCCTGACTTGTATTGCCAAATTGTTTCTGAAGTAGATTGTATTAATTTCTACTAAGTCCAATAATTTATTATTTGCTAATTTTACTAAAAACCTCATAATCATCTGCTATTAGATGATTTAATTTTTACTGAATAAAAATAAGTGGTACTTTTCATTTGTATTTTTGTTACTAATTCAAACATTTTTAAAACAAATTATAGTATTTATTCATACTCAAATTGTCAGAAAAGCCTCTGGTCCATTTACTTATTGGAATCTTAATTATTATTCTTACAAAGTGGATTGAGGTCTTGATTTACTATAGACAGTACTATAATTTGTCATTTTCAATATAAATATATTTTATAACAGGTTTCTTTAATTTATTTTTAGTTTCTATATTTTCACTAGAGAGGCATTTTGAAATTTGAAATTTCTTTACAATCTATTTGTATGTCATTTAGTTGCTTCAATCTTTAGAAAGTTCTCATTTTTCCAATTATCTGAGATTCTATTTTATTTTTGGCTGATTTTCACCGATTTGACTTTTCACTTAATCTTTTCTCCATATGGAGATTATTTTTGCTCTACAGTAAGGAAGCAATCAAGCAATTTTCCTCTCTCTCAATATTTATTAAATAATTCTTCATTTCCTTATTGCTTATGATACTTTATTACACACTGATTTTTCCTATTTAACTTATGGGCTTCTATCCTGTTCCACTGACCTATTTTATTTGTTAGTATTCTAGTTTATCTTTTTTTACTACTGTTGTTTTATAGTATGCTTTTATATTTGACAGGATGGGCTTTAAAAAAATTTTTTTTGAGAGCCACACCCACTTCCTTTTCCAAATAAATTTTGAAATAAATGAAGTCATGAATTACTTTTGTTTTTTCTAAAATAACCTGGAATTTCAAGTGAGATTACTTTAGCCTATATATGGAACTTAGGAAAAATCAGCACTATCGTATGCCTCATTTATTCTAACCTTTTTATATTTCCCAATAAAGATTTCTTTATGAGGTAAGTCACTCATACCTTTTATTATGCTATTTCTCAAGTTTTTATATTTTAGTGTTATTGTCAACAGGATCCTTGTGTAATTTCTAATTACTATTTTTGTTGGTATAAAAGACTGTAATTTATTTTGCATGTTTAATTTGTATTTAGCTAAATATTATATAGAGTTATTGCTAGAAAGAAAGACTGTAGATGAACGATTATAAAACCTAAACCTCAGCCATCATCTTAATGGGCATGCCTCACCTTTAACTTCTCTATAGTCAAAAGCCTCCCGCAGCAAGTTCTCTTAGTTATCTGATTTTGCAAATAGTTCTTTGGGAAAGTATATAGAAGACTATTTTTTTTTTTTAGCTGAGCCATCCTGCCACCTGTTGGCAGCTCAGCAGCAGCTCAGCTCGGGCCGGACTCAAACCGCTGTTGCTCAGAGCTCAAACCTTTGAGCGCGCTCTTAACCAACTGAGCCACTCGGCGGGCCCTAGAGGATTATTTTTTAATTAACCAATGTGAATGTTAAGTTTCTACTCCTTTAAAAATTAACTAAGCTCAACTTACGAGGATCATGGACTTTGGGACCTAGATCACTTATTTATCTGTATGTTAGAGTCCACACAAAATTATTTCTTGAGCATTTTATCACTTCGGATAAGATTCAGGCGTGAGTAATACAGACCCAGAGAAACCATGGCTAAACAAGTTAGCCCCACAGAGTCACCGTGCTCGGGGCTCGGGCTTCTTCAGGCTGAGTCCTTGATGGTGCAGCGTTCCACTCCAACCTCCATGCCTTCGTCCACGTGTTCCAAAATGGTTGTCGGAGCACCAGCCATCATAGCCTCATTCCAAGCCTCAGGATGAAGGAAGAAGACGAAAGAAAGGTAAAATTTCCCCCCATGTTAATAAGGCCTCCAAGAAGTTTCACAGTTCAATGGTCACGACCCAGGCACTTTAATCACATCTAGCTGCTGCGGTGGAGCCTGGAAGATGTACGCTTTTTATTCAGTCGTCCATGTGCCCAGCCAAAATTGGGTTTTGTGAATTTGAGAGGGAAGGGGAAATGACCATTTGGTAGGTAACTGTCTCTGCCCTAGAATCTTGTCACTGACCAAACACAATTCTTAGGTCTGAAGCGATCAGGCAGTCTTCCGTTCAGGCAGGCCATTATCACTCATTGTCAGAAGACCTCAACTCCTGGCAACGTTTCTTTATGTGTTAAAAGTATTTAGCCAATACCATAGACTCCCTGACCATAGGTACTTTTTAGAGACTATAATTTTGTACTCACTTCTGCACAATGTCTATCAACATCAGTTACATGTCGTTTAAGTGGGTTCTCTTTACCATATTAAGAAAATATCTATTCCAGTGAAATTCTTTTAAGTTAGAAATACGTCATAAGTTTTATCAAATTTTTTTTGTCATATGTAAGAAGAATTATATTTTTTCCTTATTTAACCTACAGGTATGAATTATATCATTACTTATTTTTCAGTAATGATAGTCTTAGTTTGAACTTTCCTTGCATTCCAGGGATAAACTTACTGGCTATGAACTATTGTTTGTTTAAAGTATTGCTGAATTATTCTTACTGTGTTTTATTTCAAAATTTCCCATCTATCCTCATAAGCCTTTCCGCCCCATTTTTCTGGTATTTTCATCTTGTTTGGGATAAAAAGTATACAATTATGTAATTTATTGTTTTAATTAATTAATTGAATCATGTGGAAATGTTCGTTTGAAAGCATACTAGGAGCCAAGCAGTACTCTAAATGCTTAGGATAGCCATAGTTGCATGTGAGTATAATAATTACTATTATCGCTTGATCTGTCTATTGTTATATTGTGTGGTTCTTGTGACATCAACAGTGAAGAGATCTTTGGAGTCAAAATCAAGAATGTAGTCAACTGTCATAGCCTCACTGAACCTCAGTTTCCTATTTGTAAAATGCAGATACGAATAACACCTACACAACAAAACAAGCCCCCTGCTCTAGTTTGTGTATATCTGGTATATATTAGGATTATTCTCTGACTAGAGATTTCACATTTCCTTTTTGGCCTGAAGGCTAAGGTGACATCTCTGGGGATGGTACGTGTATTATTGTAAAACACTTGATAATCACTTTGAATGCTATATTTTACAATATTTGTTGTTAATATCTTTGGACTACTTTTTATGGCAGTCAAAAACTGTTATCATTTTGGGATTCACTCTTTCCCCTTCATCTATTCATGTCTTCATTCATTTTCATCTAAACTTCCAAAACTCTATCTTCCTGCATCTACTCCTATGACATAATCACCTTCTTCATACTGAAGTCACTCAGATCTAAATCTCTAGCCCAGGGCCGGCCGAGTGGCGCGATGGTTAAGAACTCGCTTGGGATGCCAGAGGGCCCCGGTTCGGATCCCACATATGAGGGCCAGTGACACTGCCCTCTACAGCTAAGATGCTGAACAGCGGCTCGGCCTGGAGCTGGGCTGCTGTGAGTCGCCGGCGACGGCGTAGGCTGCAGCCCCTGTGGCAGTGGGTTGCCATGGGCTACCGTGTGTAGCCAGCAGCCAGCGTGAGCGGCCAGCAGCCGCAGTGAGCGGCCGTCCAGAAGCCGGCGACTGATCTGTCTCATCCGGGAAGAGCACAATGATGGTGCCAACTTGGGCCAGTGAAGCAATGTCCTCCACAACTAGACTGAAGAACAAAACGACAGCAACTTGTCTGTCCCCCTTCCCCCAATTCCCCAGCAATGTTCCCATCCCCCCAATTCACCAATAAAAATCTTTTAAAAAAAATAAATAAATCTCTAGCCCAAAGCCACAGATCCTGCCACTTGTCTACAGGGTATTTTCCTGGCATGTCACTGAAATTTTCCCCAAATCTGCGCCTTCTTTTGAATTCCCATCATTGGAGAGGAATAACATCTCCAGCTTTACACTATTCCGTTCCTTGCTTACCTTCCACCTGCATCTTAAACATCTGCACCAATTGCCACCGCCCTGGTCCAAGCCGCCATCATTTCTTGTCTGAACAACTACAACGATGCCCATATTCATCCCTCTCCCACCAATCTTTACTCACCTTTGATTCATTCTTCCCTCTACTTCCAGAGGATTGGGGGAAATGCAAAACTGTTATGTTATTCTCTTGGCTGAAATATTTCAGTCCCTCTCCAATGCCTTCAGGGTAGAGTCCTAAGGTGGTTTGTCCCCCCATGTGCCTCTACGGCCTTTCCCTCACCATCTCTTTCCACACTGCAACTCTATCTCTTTCTCTAGAAGGTTCCTTCTCATCCTTCAGGCCTCTGGGTAGCTGCCCTCGACTACCATCACCCAGAAACCTTCCATTTTTTTGTTAGAGCTCTATAAGTATTGAGTGCTTGATAGATTGATAGAGATTTTTTTTTTGGTTAAATGAATAAATGAACTACTGACTCAGTTGCCTTTGTAAATGAAAAGCATTCTTTAGTCTCATTATTTCCCCTTGAAATATAATTCCATTTTTTCTGGCTTTGATCATTTAGTGGGAAAGGATAGAAAGCCACTCCAGTTTGTTCTGTCTTGTGGATAACCTCAAATTTTGACTTGTAAACTAGCAATATGCCTTTTCTTTTCATGAGACTCTATTTTGGTGTTGGTCCCTGTCTATATCACACCAACTCTACGAGCCTTCTCAATTTCCAATCTCGTGTGTATACATATCATCTATCTTCTTCAGGAATTCCTATTCCTCATCTTTTGGATCTATTTTCAATCCTCCACTTCTCTTTTTTTCACTATCTATGCTGCTTATATGATTCAAGTTTATCTTCTTTTTTTACTGATCTAATTCTAGTATTTTCATTCTGATTTTTATAACTTCTAATGATGAGCTAGTGTCTCTTTTTTAATGTTTCTTTTCTTTCTTCTTTTCCCCCCTCCCTTCCTTCTCTCCCTTTCTCTCTTTCTTCCTATATGGGACTGCACATGTTTAATAACTATGCATCTTCTATTATCTCTTTGAATATAAATTCCAGCCATTCTCAGAAATATTTGGGGTCTTTTGATGAACATTCATTTCAGATGTAGTCTTTTTTCACGTTTCAAACTTTTTTTTCAAAGCTACTTTTAAATGTTTATTCATGCATTCCTTAACTTCACCCTGCAAACTTTGTTGAAACTTCTGAAAGTGGTCCATATTTCGGATAATGTTAAAGATTTGTTGATGGAATTTAAAAGAAGGAGATTCCTGTTGTTCCTTTTGATCGTTCCAAATGTGTCCCTCTAAAGAAGATATGTTTAAAGGGTTGGTTAGGAATTAATATATAGGATGGAATTAATATGTAAGGAGGAGTGGAATTCATATATAGGATGGAATTAATATATAAGGAGGCGTGGCTAGAGGCAATTGAACAATTAGGAGGCTGTGCAATAAACCGTGCCTATAGCAATATGAGCTTCAAGCAGGGTAACAGTGGAATAGGAAAACAAGAAAAAGCTGGCCAGGAGATATATTCTAATTGACTTCATTTAAATCAGATGTTTTAGAGTATGAATTAACCAAATGGATCATTCTGTCCTTTAACCCATTTGACATTGAACAAATCCAAAATGCTAACTAATAGCTACCAATATTCCTAGCCAGTAATGACAATCAGTATTGTTTTCGAGCACAAGTAAAAAGAACACATTTCCCCCAAAGAAAACCTATAAGTGCGCCTTTTCATCAGCTGTCTCTGTGCAATTGCCCCTGTCATCTAGGCAGCGCAATTCAACATGACACTCTGATTAGGACCTTGAGCTGCAGGAGGCTGAGGCAGCCACACTGTCCAGCCCTGGTCCATTATACGCCCACTGTTCAACCCTCATCCCAATGCAATTGTTAAAAGTAAACTACAGTAATAGAGTTAATTCTTCCTTTCACATTGTCCCAACGTTACTGACATCATTATTGGAGCATTTGGGTCTCCTGAGATGTGCTCTGGAAAGATCTTGCAAAGAGGAGTGAAAGGCCTGCCTGCACTGAAGAGTGACGAAAATGTAAATTTCAGTCATCTTACTGGTGAAACAGACATATTTCACCAAGGCCAGATTAATTTAACAGCTACATTCCCATCCCTGTATGCTCTTAAGTAAAAACAGACCTACGAAACAGTCAGAAGTGATTCCCTAAATGCATATAGTGTGCAGAGGCCCTAGCCAGCCAAAAGGATCCCAACAGGGTCCCTAAAAGGTATGTGATGACACATCGCAGCAGAGAAGAAGGCTTTCCATGTTGCAATTATTTATATAAATATCGTGTAGGAATGCTTAAAAGCAATACATCAGGTCTGTCTTGGGGTCCCTAGAAGGAAAAGGTCCCAAGATATCCTACTTTAGATGGAATTGGAAATTACACCTATCCCAATTTCACCTGACTATTCCAATTCAACAATTGATTCCAAAGCTGTAACCTCTACTTGTTGCCCAGCAACTGACTTGTGCTATTGCCCTAGAAAAGCCATGTAATCCTCTCACTTCCTCGTTTTCAAACGCCCTGCTTTAAAAAGCACATCAGGGGCCGGCCGAGTGGCGCAATGGTTAAGAACTGGCTTGGGATGCCAGAGGGCCCCGGTTCGGATCCCACATGTGAGGGCCAGTGACACTGCCCTCCACAGCTAAGATGCTGAACAACAGCTCAACCTGGAGCTGGGCTGCCATGAGTCGCCGGCGACGGCGTGGGCTGCAGCCCCTGTGGCAGTGGATTGCAATGGGCTACCGTGTGTGGCCAGCAGCCAGCGTGAGCGGCCAGCAGCCGCAGTGAGCGGCTGTCCAGATGCCGGCGACTGATCTGCCTCGCCAGAGAAGAGCGCAATGATGGTGCCAACTTGGGCCAGTGAAGCAACGTCCTCCACAACTAGATTGA